AAAATAGTCAACAATATAAAAAATTAATTTAAGAAAATATCAAAAGTGATATATATATGTATTATTATTTGGTTGTCTGGAAAGTTCGAATGGATTAGGACAAATCTGACTATATAGAAGTGATTGAAAACGTATGTGTCTACATTTAAAAGTTGATATCTCAGGCATCCCTAGAATGATTCATTATTCAATGTGATTATGTCTATATTTAATGATGTATTAAAAAATGAAGTGAAAATCATAATTGTAGTTACTACGTTTTGAATTTAAGCTATTCTAAAGACTAATTATTCTCAATAAAATAAATACTAGTGGAACGATACTTAGGGATAGAATCCTTAATTTGAAAAATGAAGAAACAATATGGAAGAAAGTACCATATAATTCAATAAAACCATAAATACACATCAAAATTTGAATGCACTGCCCTTAAATTCTCAATAAAAATCCAAACGAACTTTCCAGACATGCCATTTAAAAAAAAAGATTCTTTATTTAGACTTCATTTCGCACATTGACATTACAAATGTATTACTTCACATAAAAATCCGCAGTCTGCGACTTTAGGTTTATCGACCAAGGAACTGTAAATCTTCTGGAATATTTCAAGAATTATCCTGTTCTCTATTTCATGAAGAGTAGAAGTGTCAATAGTGATTGAATAAGTCAGACTGTCATTGCGTTTCTCTTACTGAATAAGGGAACTCCATTCTAAGCGCCGAGGCGTTCTACTATTTTTTGAATGAAAGGAATTAAACGTCCAGGTAAAGGTTTCTCTGTCGAACAATCGTCGACTGCCGTCCCAGACAACGGTTCAATCGGTCTCCCACAGATGGAGCTCAAGTGGTCGAAATCCACGAATCCCGAGCAATCTTTGGTCGGTATTCAGAATTGTAACTTATTTTCCAAATCACTTTAAGCGTTTGCTTAACTTCTTGTTTCCTATATACAACAGAGACTAGAAATATGGAATAGACAGGGATAGGAAATGCTTAAGACGATCTTAAAAATAAGTAACGACTCTGAATACCTTCAACAGCACTCAATATTGTAAAAATATGCAACGTTGCAAAAATATTGTACTGCAAGATTGCAATATT